TTCAGATCCATCTCATTTAATGTTCATTATAATCATTATATATAATTAAGTACGAGTATTATCCCCATTTTACTGATGAAGCTTTTGAATTGCACAGATATAAGTAATTTGTTCAAGGCCAAATAACTAATCAATGAGGAAGCCAAGACTGAAAACCAGATCCAGACCCAAATCATACACTGTCTCTCTTCATAAAGAAAAATATATTAATAAAAAAGTTTATTTGGAAAATGGAAGAGGAATAAATCTTTAAACTTATGTCACTAGATTTATGATACATACTCAGTCCATAGATAAGTCTTTAATACAATCATTAAACCTATTCATGGGTTTTAGAAACTCAGGAGATTAAAATAAATGTGCTAGCAGGAAAAGATTTTAAGAAAGCAAAGATCAGGTGCCAAAACAACTTCAATTCAGGTTTTGTAAACATTATGCCACTACCATCAATAAGGCATGCTAGCCTTTCTCAATCTTACTCATTGTTTTTGCCCATTTCTGTGTCAAGAATGGATCATGTACCACCATAAACAAAGGCATATCAAAGAAACAAAGTTGAGACCGTCTGGCTCAATTAGCCATTAGCATAACAGATGACTGTGCAAAGACCAGGAGATAGCAGCATCCTATGAATCACAGATTAAAGAGTAATCATTATTATTATTTGTGGAATCAACTAGCTAAAAACCAAATGCTTATCAACAGACTCCATCAAGTTCCTAGATGAATATGGAACAGACCTTACACAGAGAGGATGGAAGATAGAAAAAAGATAAATAATATAGAAAGGTGGAGGTATTAATATTACACATGAGGACATCAGGTAGAGGGAAGAAACGTGGTGGAGAAAGCTGCTTTCTCTGGAGGAGATAATACCTGAACTGAGTCTTAAGGAATGAGCAGGTTGATTAGGAAGATGAAGGGGAAGGACATTCTAAGCCCAAGGAGCAGAAATACGTAAGTCCAAGGGCAAAATAACAAAAACAAAAGCTGGGGTGTTGGGGTAATTGCAAACAGGTACAGACATATAAATTTCTACTATAACTAAAAAGTGGTACTATTATACGCAAAGTATTTTTTAACACTGAATTCTAACGGCAAGCTTGGGCACATATCCCTGGAGCCTGACAGATGCCAAAGGCCACAGGTGCTGGCACAGCCTCAGCAGAGTTAAAGGTAACCGTTACTTCCCTTTTTCCTTAGTTTTTTTACTCCCCCCCACCCCCGCCCTAGCCCGTAATTAAAACCCCTCATCTTGTTCCTCTCTCACAGAGGACAGTGTTGGCTCTAGAAGAATGGCATTGAGGAAGAAGCTTCTTACTCATTCCAGAAAGCCGGACTTTTAAAATCATTGCCATTTTCCTAGTGAAACTTACATCAACAGTGACTGTGCTCTTCAAAGTGTTGAAAGATTGGGAAATATAGAGCAACTTATAATTGAGACGCTAATTTATGTTTTGCTTTTCTTCTTGTTTAACAAGACTGCAAACACTGCAAAGAGGTCATGACCCAGGCAAGTTCAGGTCTTGACTTGTAAAGCGTCATCTTTAATAAAACACTGAAAACATCACCAAATGATTAAAATGTGCTGGGTCATTTTGTATGTTAATTAGTAGTAATGTTCATAAGGAAGCTTTATCATGAAAAAGCAGCTCTGAATGTATTAACGTGATAAATCACACTGGATACACTTGGAGGGAAAAGCTGCCAGCAGCACGAAAGGGGGATGCAGCTTTAAAAATAAATGCAGAGCTCAACTCAAGAGGGGAGCCCCACCTCGCTGGTGTGGCTACTAGTCTTCAGTCCACAGTGCCCAAACGTGCCCCTTGATGGAAAGCAGAAAAAGTAGAGTGATAACCTATTTGGGGGAAGAAAATTATTCCCAGAATACCCCTTACTGAGATTTGCTAGTCCTGATACTATAAAGAAAAGGCCTAAATAAAATAACTATCTGCCAATCGGATTATGATAAACATTGTTCCAAGGTTAAATAAGTATTAGTTTACTAATTCTTAGTACCATAAGAAGCAACTCAGGTGAAAACATTTCCATGAAAAAGGCAGGGCTCAGTCAGGTGTTGATCCTTCAAAAAAACACTTCTTTACATGATGAAGAATGAGCAAAGTACTAAGCAGCATCTAAGCCTTTTGCCACACAAAGGACTAACCAGATAATCCACACCCTTTCATAGGTCTTGCCCATTGATTGGCTCCAATAAACTGATTTGTAACAAAAGTTCACGTGGAAGAAAGCTTTTTTCCCCCCTAAATAAAAATGCCACCAATATAATACTGCAGTGAAATAGAAGGGCTGATTTCAACCTATGAACAAAAGTAAAGTCAGTTATGCAGTAAAGAAAGGCCATT